GACACGTGTACAATTTGATGGTATGCGTAAATGCGATGAACACAAACACAAATGCTGTAGTGTGCGTTTATAGTGACGCGATTTAATTTTGCGTTTGTAGTTAAGTATACAGTTGTATGGTTTTCTTGCGCCCCCCTGATGTTGACAGAATTTTTGTTTAGGAATTAACGCGCATGGCCTCAAGTTTATGAACGATGTTTTGGCTTGCCGTCATAGGTTACGAAATAACCAATTATTCGAATAATTCGAACTATTTGACTGAACTATTTTGAACTATTCATAGCAATACTCCTTCGATCAACAATACCAACTAGCTGTCGGGTCGGCGCAAGAAATCCATCTCATTAAATAAGAGCGCACATGAGACGTGATCTCGTGCGCGTGAGAGTGTAGCAAGGCATAACGGGAAAAAGAACTTTATTTGATAAAACATAAGGTTGATTTCACACTAAATGTTATTTAATTTATGTCTTTTCACAGTTTATATTCATGCGGACAGTATTTGGCTATGATTTTGTACGTGACCCGTTATCTAGTTGGTATTATTGATCGAAGCAATACTCGGAAAACATACGACTCCAGTTAACTCGAGTTGAAATTCATACAACTCGAACTAAACTCAAAATAAGCAACTAGAGTTAGCAAAACGAAACACAGTATCCTATTTTTACATTACTTTTAAAATATCGGTTTAATAAAAATCTATGTATATATATAATTTTTTCCCCTATGTCGGTCACTGTGGTTCTACTGTGGGTATCCTCATTTCTGAGTTCATCACGCAGAGAAACTCCGAGCATAGTCCTCTCCATAGCTTGCTAAGCGACTTTGAGCTTCCTTATACGGCCAGCAGTAAAGAACCACGTCTCAGACCCATAGGTCATCACTGGCAACACGCACTGGTTGTACAACTTAGTTTCAAGTTTTGAGGTATACGGGAGACGAGAAGATTTGTCGTAATTTACCGAACGCTGCCCAGCCGAGTTGAATCCGACGATTGACCTGTCGGTCGAGGTTGGACTTACCTAGTCGGACTATTTGTCCCAGGTAAACGTACTCGTCAATAACTTCGACCTTAGTGCTCTCGACAACTACGGGCATAGGTGTGACATTGACATTAAACATGATCTTTGTTTTGTCCATGTTCATCTTAAGACCTATCCGTTGGGAGGTCTATTGAGGTCATTGAGCTTAGTGCTTAAGTGCTCCAGCGATTCTGCCATAAGGACTATATCGTCGGCAAATCGAATTTGAGTGATGTACTCGCCATTGAAGTTAATACCGTATCCTTTCCAGTTCAGTAGCTATTAAACGTCTCCCAATGCAGCGGTGAAGAGTTTCGAGGATATAATGTCACCCTGTCTTACACTTCTCTGCAGTTGGATAGGTTTCGTACTCTGGTTCTTTAATCGGATAGCCATCGTAGCCCTACTGTATAAGCACTTCAGCACTTCAATATACCGACAGTCAACTTGGTACCGCTGAAGAAACTGTAACACCGCCCAAATTTCGACGGAATCAAAAGCTTTTCCATAGTCCACATATGCCAGGTAAAGTGGCAGATTGTATTCTTCGGACTTCTGTACAATTTGCCGAAGGGTATGTATGTGGTTTATGGTACTAAAGCCTTTTTAGAAACTGGCTTGCTTGGGGGGGGGGGGCTGGGAATCGTGGAGTCTGCTTGCGAGACGATTTGTATTGACTCCCGAAAACAGTGTAGAATGATTTGAAGAGGGTTTTTCTTGAAGAACAAGACCAACGCACTTCTGCTCCACGCCTCGGGAGTAGTACCTCAATGGAGGATGGAATTAAAGAGCTTCTGAAGGACTTCAAGTACCGGTTTTACACCCGCTTTCAGAAGCTCCGCTGTAATTCCATCCTCGCCCGGGGACTTGCCGTTTTTAAAGTGCTAGAGAGCCATTCTAATCTCGCTCAGACTGACGTCCGGGATATCATCGGAATAGTGTGGGATAAGACTTGCTCCTGGATCGTTACTCACACTTGCGTGTGGCTCGAACGATGATGTGTACAGCTGCGCATAGAACCTCTCAATCTCACTCAGAATCTCAGGTGTCCCGGAAACGATGCGCTCACACTCAGTCTTGACAGTTGACTCTTACTGGCAGACAGATCTCTGGCAAAGACTTTGGAGCCCTGGTTCAGCTCAATCGCTTCTTCAATGCGAGCTGTATTGAAGTTGCGTAAGTCCTACCGCATGCATTTCGAGATCTGTCTGTTCAGTTGCCTATATGCTGTCAAATCTGCTGATGACTGCATCTTCATCGCCCCTCTAACATCCATGAGATTAAGAGTGTGATCGGGGAGTTTTAGTATAATTACTCATCTTTCGATGTAGACGCTCACTATAACGGGTCACTAATAACGGGTTTACAAGATAGCCCCATCAAAAAAAATCTTGAATATTAATAAATAATATCCTTGTATAAAACGAGGTCTGCCAAGCGAATTATATGTTATGTAACGTGGTACGAGATTTAGCGTGCTGCGAAACTTTACGCACCTCCCGGCCGCCTACACGCTTTCTTATAAATAGCGTGCTATTGGATAGCATGCTATAAATTTATACTTTATAGTCTGTTGCATGCTATTGATTTATAGCATAGCCGTTTTCAATGAACAACTCTTAATCACAAGTCGCAACACTAGTTTCACCTTGTGAAGGTTAAAGTTAAAGGTGAAGTAGATCTTGGAGACAGCCGGGCCGGAAATTTTAACTTGAAATATCTTGCATCTACGTGGGTTACTTGCCTGCATTAAAAGTTGTGGGTATATATACATACTTAGTGATTATCTTCAAGGGGTCTGGGTATTTGAAGAGAGGTCAAAGAGGGCAACAGTCCTTCGAGTGTAATATCAGGTCAGTATTATGTCATTATATATAATCAAATTTCATATTTTCTTTAATATGCTAAAACACAGACATCATCAAACAAAACCCTGATTTAGTAATCTATTTTATAGTACATATGGAGTTATTTATTATTGCATCGGTCAGCGGTTTACTTTTTAAAATTTCCGAATATTTACCTCAAATAAAATATTTTACTGGCTAATGAAACTTACTGTTATATGTCAACAGATTCACACAAAGTACGGTCAATATGCCTATCAAATCCATTAAAGCTCGCCAGATTTTCGACTCACGTGGGAATCCTACCGTCGAAGTTGATTTGGTGAGTAGTTATTTCAAGTCTAACATTTTTTTTATTAATGATATATACCTAAGGCTTCTGTGGATACAAATGTAAGTAGGGTTACAAAAGTTGTTTGCCTTAGCAGTTCATTCCCCAGGCATGTCAAACCCTTTTATATCCTAAAGTTTTTTGAAATGTTAAGGATGGTTTAATGAAATATGAGGAGAATGAAAATATTGTTATGCTAGGATATTTTAATGTAAGGGTTGAGGTGTTAAGGTCTTGTTATAAAATAATATTGAGGGCATTTGATGATGAATGTATAAAAATGAGAGTGGTAAAAGCCTTCTACCAGTATGCTGGGGGAGAAATCTTTTCGTTGTAATAGTATACATATATTATACACCTTGAAATCCTGATAACTCAAACTTCAAGGGAAACGCTAAAAATGCCTAGTTAATGAGATTTTAACTTAAAAATATGCAATTTATAAATATATTTTTCGACTTGTAGAGTCATAAATAAATAAAAAATTGACTTATTAGTTTTTTCATGATACTGCTTGAATCAGGTCAGTAAACATTCCTTTAAATCAGGATACTTGTTTAATCCTCATCTTTTGCTAGACAAACTGCTACATGATTCATAATATCTAGCGGAAGGTTGCAAAGTAATAAATTATTTATCATAATATCTTAGTTTTATTTCTGGTATTGAGCTGTCATGTCTTTAACTCTAAAATGAAAAATTTGAGATTATCAATGCAGTTCTAAGTTGTTAGATTTCTCATACCTTTGTTAGTTAACAGCCAAATACAAGGGGACATTTTATAGTTCGTGGAATGGGGGGTGAGGAGTGGAAATAAAAATCCAAATTTATTTTTCCTTTTCAATATATTCACCTGCTACCCTAATACATTTTTCGGATCTAATAATTAACTTATATATACCCTCAAAAAAAAAATGATTTGGTCTGGTGGATGCAGCAACCTAAGTATGTGACATAAGTGAGAGAAAGAATGACAGGAATAATAATGTTACGGTGTGTAAGGTACTTATAGAAGTTGAAGCAAAGGACGTGAAAGTTTGGCTAAAATTACTAGCAACTAAATCTAGTATTTCTGGCTATATTAATGGTGAGGTTGAAAGAAGAAAGGTGTATTTGATGTCTAAATAAGAGACTAAAAGAACTAGTAGAATGGAACATCTAATAATTAATGAGAAAATATGAAAATGTTCTCAAATTGTCAATACTGCCAGGGGAAAGACAAAACATTCTATATGCTGTGCAAAATGTGAATAGATGAATTTAAATTGTCAAAGTATCAAGTTTAAAGAGATTGAAGTCATACTTTTAAAGTTTGTTTAAATTTAAGGATGCATATGTAGAAAATTAAGATATATTCTTTCTTCAGTATTTAATATTCATTAAGAAAGGTTAGCTGTAAATGACAGTGTAAAAAATGTATGATATAAGAAATTTGGTTTGGATGATGTTGTGACTAGGACTAAAAAAGGGATGCTTCGGTATCTTGAACTACGTAGAAGTAAGCAAAAAAAAAAGAAGAATGAGAAAAGAGTGTCAAGCAAATTTATGCTGCATAAATGTGTGAGCAGAGTCGGAAGTCTTTCTAGATGAAAGTTTATTAACCAAATTGGCAATATATTGAAGATGGGCTCCCCACTTCTGGTACTCTTAACTGACAAGCATGTATGCATGGATATTTGAATTCGAAAGAAGCACAAGAGGTGTGTCAGGATTGAGTAATATGAAAGTATAATCTATGCCTACCCCACTGGATGATATGAGAGTTTATGATATTTATTATGTAAATTATATTGATAACTAGAAATTTCATTTGTATTCATGTCATACTAAATAATTTACACTGTTAGAAGATTTTATCTATTAAGGTTTTTACTTTGTCATCCAGGTAACGGAGTTGGGTCTTTTCCGTGCTGCTGTTCCCTCGGGAGCCTCCACTGGCGTTCATGAAGCCCTAGAGCTTAGAGATAATGTAAAGAGTGAATATCATGGAAAGGGTGTCCTCACTGCAATAAAAAATATCAATGACATCATTGCACCGGAGCTCTTGAAACAGAATCTTGAAGTGACTCAACAAAAGGAGGTAAGTATTTTTTAGCATTTGGATGGAGCTAATAGTATTTTATATATATGCTTAAAGAACAAAATAATAAATAATTCATGTATTGGTGATTGTTCTAGATTGACGAATTTATGATCAACTTAGACGGGACTGAAAACAAGTCTAAGTTGGGTGCCAATGCAATTCTTGGTGTCTCCTTGGCAGTGGCTAAGGCTGGTGCAGCTAAGAAAGGTGTACCCCTTTACAAGCATTTAGCAGACTTGGCGGGTAATAGTGACATTGTTCTACCTGTACCTGCATTTAATGTCATTAATGGTGGCTCTCATGCCGGCAACAAACTTGCCATGCAAGAGTTTATGATTCTACCAACTGGTAAGTTGGTGGTTGTATCTCAATTTGTTCTCAGTAAGAAACAAAAATTGATTATGATGCAATAATTTTTAGGTGCTTCTTCATTCAGTGAAGCTATGCGGATGGGTTCTGAAGTTTATCATCATTTAAAAAAGATTATAAAAGAAAAGTTTGGACTTGACTCCACTGCTGTTGGGGATGAGGGTGGCTTTGCTCCCAATATCCAGAACAATAAAGATGCTCTGTTTTTAATTCAGGATGCTATTCAACAAGCTGGTTACACTGGCAAGGTATGTTGTATTATTGATGTAGTCATTACACATAATTATTTATTAGTAATGGATGTTTTCTAATAAATAATTATGTTTTTGTTTCCTCTATCCAATAAGTTGCTCTTACAAGCAAGATCATTGTGTCAAAGTATTAATAAAATTTGTAATAAAACACCTTTTTTTAGATTGAAATTGGAATGGATGTTGCTGCTTCAGAGTTCTTCAAGAATGGATCATACGATCTTGACTTTAAGAATCCAAAATCCAACCCAGCTGACTTTTTGTCATCTGATAAGCTTGCTGAGGTTTACCTTGACTTTATTAAGGATTTCCCAATGGTTTCCATTGAGGATCCCTTTGACCAAGATGACTGGGCTGCTTGGGCTAGTTTAACTGCTCGCACTCCCATTCAAATTGTTGGTGATGACCTTACGGTAATTAAGAAATTTTATTTATTTTGTTAATTATAATGGAATTAAAAAATTATATTATTAAAAATTTCAAATAAACTGTAACTGACTTATTACAAAAAGTTGTTTATAAGTAGTCTCAGGTTAATAATAGTTTGTTGTAATAAAATGGACACACTTTGAGCCGCAAAACTGGGCACTGACTTATTACATAATATGATCCAAAAGTACATGTCTAGCAATATCGTGAAGAAAACACTGATTTTGAGGTATTACTCTCGAGGTGATACAATAGGACTAATCAGTGTACCTACAGTTAACTTAGGTTCAACAAAGTAAAGAAATCCTATGCAATATGCAAACTAAAATGTAAATTTGATACCAAATGTCAGATTTCGGAAACTCTGTCGCCGCGCCGTGGCTTAAAAGCCTTCTTTCACGACAGACTTCCTTAAACTTGATACTATTAATAAACCACATTCTGTTATATTTACGGTCTATAAATATTTAATTACAGATTTCTAACGGTTTAAATTGGCTTGACCTGCAATAAGTTTTGAAATAATTCTAATATTATTTTTGAATTAGGTAACAAACCCAAAGCGTATTGCCACGGCGGTGGAAAAGAAGGCTTGCAACTGTTTACTTCTGAAGGTTAATCAAATTGGCAGTGTCACCGAGTCAATTAATGCTCATCTTTTGGCTAAGAAGAATGGATGGGGAACTATGGTTTCTCACAGGTAATAGCCATGTATATTTTGTTCATGCATTTAAATGTTGAAATGTGTTTCTTTATTCTCTTTTGTGTATTTTATACTTTTTGGTTACCAACTAAAAATGTAATATTCCAGGTCTGGAGAAACAGAGGATACATTTATTGCTGATTTAGTAGTTGGTCTGTCCACTGGCCAGATCAAGACTGGTGCACCTTGTCGTTCTGAGCGTCTTGCTAAGTATAACCAAATACTTCGTATTGAAGAGGAACTAGGTGCTGCAGCTAAGTATGCCGGAAAGAACTTCCGCAGACCTGTTTAAATACTATGATATACAGTATGAAAAGCATATTTGCATATAACTATCTACTTGGTAGAAGCTTATTGAGATATTTGCTCTTTCTTATTTTAGAAATTGTTTGCATATAGAGAAGTCATCATTGTATTTTTTGTGATTTTGTAAGTTCTCCAATCCGAAGTAAAAGATAGGCTGTTCTTATTTTTTGTGCAGAGTGTATGTTGAATAATTGAAAAAAATTTTATTTAAATTATTTTTAAGTCAAACTCTATTATGTACGATAGCAAGTATGTAATTAAAATAAATTAATTATGAAATATTTTATGAAGATATTTTTTTTTTAAATATACTTGTTATACCAATTATTTTTAAAGTAAAAAATATTTAATAAAAACAGAATTGGCTCGCTAGTAAGGTGCTGTGTGGTTGCGGCGTAGAAGAATTCATCATTCGCAATTCATACATGTCGTAAAAGGTTACGGAACTACGGGAACAATCGGATAGATCGTAAATAATATAGGATCTTCGGTTCTTATGAGCTTATGACAACAAAAAGGATAAAAAATCTTGGGGTATAGGGTGATCATAAAAAATGCGTATGGTGCAATGAGTTACTCCATAGAATACTATAATACATACATAATAGAATGGGGGGAGTGGGCGGAGCCCGTGTAGCCACTAACACGTCAATTCACACCTATAAATGTCAACACGATCAATCGTTTCCAATTTTCGTGTCAAGCGTCGTATAGAAAGAACAGCGGGAAATGGAATTTAAATAAGGGGGACTTATCCTACAACCAGTAAGTTAAACTATTTATATTTTGTAAATATTAGAAAAAGAAATAAAGTAATATTGATGTGTCAAAAATATTAATCAAACGTCTAAAATGTGTAAATTCGCTCAGTCGGTCTACAGCGAATCTGGTTTGTAGTAGTGATAATACGACATAGTTGCTTGTATGCGTGCTCCCAGCGACACCGATCCTCATACAAAATAACGTTGACAGCCATTCTATTGTGTATTATAGTATTTTATGAGTTACTCAGTGTGCCAACACAGAAATGTGAGTCATGCACCTATTTTGCTCTGATTAAGACTCAAACACAGCCTGTGTAACTGAATTTAGCGCGACAGAATGACCTCTGCCATCCTGACTGTCTAAATAACGTACGGTGTGTAAGAATTAGATTTTTTTTAAAGAATATTAACAATGCTATAAACATTACTAATAAAGTGATTCCACCCACGACATTTTTAGTTCGAGTTGAGATATGGGCCGAATATGGATGTCACCGAATACGAATATTCGGCCGAAAGTTCGGATAATCTTTTACCTAACCGAATATTCGGCCGACCATTATTCGCCAGGATCCCCTCGGTAATTAACCAATTTATGTCGAAACTTGTTACCATAAAGCGCTCGGAATTAGCGGTGGACATTGCCAAGGCATTCGACAGAGTCTGGCACGAGGGCCTTATCTACAAACTGTACGACTTAGGCCTCCCAGACCGTCTCGTTCGCCTTGTAGCCTCCTATCTGAAGGATCGTACCTTTCGTTTTAGACACGAAGGCACGCTATCCTCTACCCGTCAAATAAAAGCCTCCTATACATACTATTCACCAACGACATCCCTATCCCGTCGAATGGTGTCAAACTAGCCCTCTTTGCAGATGACACAGCCCTTTACTCCAAAGGCAACTCACTACCACAGATTCGGAACAAGATTCAAAAGTCAGTAAGCGACTTAGGAGCTTGGTTCCAAAAATGGCGTATCGACGTAAACCCGGAGAAAAGCTCCGCCGTTTGCTTCGAATATAAACGACGTCGTCTCACCACCCATGTCCCTGTCCGAACCCCTGTCCCATGGCAAACTAAAGCCAAATACCTAGGCGTCACCCTTGATGCAAGGCTCACTTTCGAGCCCCATATCAAGAAGGTTACTCGCACCGCACGTTTTTACATGAGTAGGCTCAACAGCATGTTGGGCAGACACAGTAAAATGTCCCTCCGCAACAAGCGAACCCTATATAAGGTCTGCATACGACCTGTCATGACCTACGCGGCCCCCATTTTTGCACATGCTAAGCCCAAAGCTATAAATGAATTTCAAATAGTTCAAAATCTATTCTGTCGTAGGGCCACTAACTCGCCCTATTATGTCCGTAATGCCGACCTACATCGAGACTTAGAGCTCCCAACAATCCAGCAATTCCTTAAATCACTCTCTGAGAGATTTTTCAAAGCCTCAGAGTCCCACCCAAATCATCTCATTCGTGAGACAGCTGCCTATGCAGCCCCTTTCCACACTCGCTATAGTGTGCGCAGACCGAGAAACTCTCTCTCGGACCCCCCCCAACAAGCTTTCGGCTGACCTGAACTGCCTCCTGGCGGCTCAGGCCGAGCCTCCATAACACATCCATTAATCTGCCTTAGTTAGGCACTCTTCTAAGCGGCTTTTCGCCGCTTGCGCCCTCCTTTCTGCCAAGGAGGGTCGCGTTCGTATACGGCTTAGAGATCTCTAGTCAGATCGTTAAGCCATTTCCTAAAAGGCGGTGTTTAGTGGGTAAAAGTCTCCACATAACCACGCAGCCGGCTGCGTGGTATGCTATGAGCATTCAACGCCTCCCTCCCCCGCTTTCCGGAGGGTTGCCCATATTTGCTTCGGGCGCAAAAAAAAAACATTGGCCCGAACCGAAGTAAACTGAACGACCTTCCAACGTGTGGACGCCGTCACCAACTCTCGGCCAATATATTCGCCACTGTGTTGGCCAACGTGTAGAGGCGCCGTTAGAGATTAGTTTCTTCGCGACTAAAACGTCATAAGCGCCAGGAATTTCATGGCACTTACGCGTATCGTTCAACGTAGTGTCGTTCGTACCACAAGTCGTTCCCATAGATTTTACATTTTTCCCGATTTTCATGAGCATTGTAACAACTCGAAAAACTTTAAATCAAAGAGTTTTATACGTTTTAGTGTCTACTTACCGATGAAAGGTTAAACCATCACTTTTTTATGTTTCGGAGGTTTACTGCAGTCTTTAACAACACAACCAGGCATTTTTAAGTTGTTATTCTCGTCTGCCACAAAGCGTGGCGCAATATCATACAAGGCGTTGTCTTCTCTATACGCTGTAGTAATAACGCAATGTAAAACTACAAGGAAACTTTTTGTTATGAAAAAATAAAAATCTTTATAACCAGAGTCTTGTATATGTTTCCTTTTTATTTAATCCATTAAGTCGAGATATTTCGAGCGTATAAAGAATGCCACATACATACCCAGAATACGCGTGGAAAATATAATCCTGGCTTTACTGTCGTGCAGTCGGGTAAAAAGTCTCAAAATGATATATACTCCATACCGTAAAAGAAAGTAAGTAGTAAGTAGAAAGTAAATGAAATACTTTTTACTTTAAATGATTTATTTAATATTATAATTTAGACTACAAGTTCGGCATAAAATATAAGAAAACTAAATTTTATGGTAAATGAATCTAACAATCCTTTTAATATACTTACATATTAGATACAGATAATAATAGGTCCATACATATGAAATTGGCGTTTTGTATGGGAGTAATATAAAGTCAATTTTTTTTAAATAATACTACTTTTTACGGATTTTATCGCGTATATTTAAATATTAGAATGGAGCTGGGAACGGATCAGTGTGCGGTACTCCATGTTGAAAGGGGAAGGGTTGCTAACTCTGAGGGCATAGATTTATCAACGTCAACTTAAAGACCCTTTCCGAGACTGAAACATACAGATACCTGAGCATGTCACAGAACATAGGTATCGATCAGGCTGGTATGAAGCAGTCAGTTTGCGACGTGTTTTATGCACGCTTGATCAAAGTGCTTAACAGCCTTTTGTCCGGTGTGAATAAGACACACGCATATAACGGTTGGGTCATGCCTGTCCTCATGTATACCTTTGGCATACTCAGGTGGACTCAGCTGAACTTAACGCCCTGGATAGAAAAGTCCGCACTATTATGACGTCCTATGACGTCCTCGGATGCATCATCCGAGATCGTCGGTAATGAGGCTGTACTTGCCACGTAAGCATGGTGGGCGTGGCTTCCTGAGCGCGCTCACCATGCATAATCGCGAAGTGTGCAGCCTCCGTAATTACTTCCTGGCGAGATTGAATGATCCATTCTATAAAGACGTCATTTCTCGTGATAAAGGACTTACCCCTCTATCCTTAGCCAACGAGCAATGGCAAGACCCGGCAGTGCAGAGCATTTCCGACCGGGAGACCGTATAGAAGGAGAAGGTGCTCAACGGGAAGTTCTGCAACGCTCTACATGAGCCTTTCTTATACACAGTCACAGCCTCCCTCCACTGGCTACGCTTTGGTGACCTCTTCAGGGAAACCGAGGGTTTTGTATGTGCAATACAGGATCAGGTTATTAAGACCAACAACTATTGGAGATGCATCCTAAAGGATGGCACCGTCAACATCTGACGAGCTTGCTCGCTCTGAAATACAGTCTCGTGGATCAGAAATTGCCGTATTACAAGTACTTGCCGGAAGCCGTGCTCGAAAATGATCGCGCCAGGCTCTATTGGGACCGAGCCATCATCACAGACAGGACTATTCTTGCGAATAAGCCTGATACTGTGCTGATGGACTGGGCACAGTCAAGGATATTTTTGGTCGACATTATCATTCCGTATGACGAGAGCCTCGTGAAAGCCGAAACAGATAAGCAAACAAAATATCTGGACCTGGCTCACGAGGTGACCGACATGTGGGGCAATCTGCCGACCGAAATTATTCCTGTGGTCGTCTCTGCAAACGGGCTAATCCCAGTCAGCCTCTCGGGTTATCTGAGGCGGCTGGGACTACGTGGCGGACCGCTCCAGGCTCAAATGCAGAAGCCGGTGCTCCTCGATACCGCCCGCATTGTCCGCCGGTTTCTTTCCCTTTCCCCCTAACCCTCGGCCGTTTGGTCTTCCCTGCCGAGGGCCTCCATATGGTTGGGCTTTTATTTATTTATGTGTTTTTAT